TAAATCAATTATCAGAAGCTTGTTTACTATTGATAGTTTGGATTTCAGGTAAATTTGTTTACATTTCCGAATTTGGGAAATTTAGTTAAGTTTCTTATCCAAATACATACCTTATCCAAATTCATCCAAATACTACAGTTTCTGATATAATTTTATTTCTTCCTTGTTCTTGGCGGGATTCTTCAAAGCTTAGTGGTAAAAACATTTAGCCAGAAGTTCTCTTGTTGGATAGCCATCCAGGACCGCCTGATACAAAGCAGTATTAATATCGATTTTTAATAGAATATATAGTAGTTGGTGTACACGTTTATATAGTAAGTGAAAATAGCTCTTTCTCTTACAAAAGTAATTTTGCATCCAAACTGAATGTCTTCTGTATAAAATAAATCTAATGATTAGAATATATTCAATATTTGTTAGATGAGCTAATAGTGGAGTTGGTTTCTAGAAATCCAAAGCGTGAAGAAGTATCATCAATGCAGCACATAGAACTCTTAAGTTGTGATTGATGTTCAAAAACAAACAAATAAAAAAGTCGTAAAGTGCAATTATCCGTTTTCAATATAAATATTACATGATTGGACTTTAAAGCAAAGATTTAAAGCAAATATTATCCAATCTTATCGCAAAAGTCGACAACGTGTGCCGTGCACGTTGCAAACCATTATCAATTTTCCATATATTGATATAATAATTTTAATCATGTTCCGTATCTTATTTGACATTAATTAAAGAACGTCAGTAAAAAAATGATATTAATCACAAAATAAGTGCGTCCTCATTTCGTTATCTCCAGACAGTTCTCATGTTTGTTGTTAAAGGAGATTGTAATAAAAAATATATTATCTTAACATTATTAGAAACCTTCAATGGTTTATGTCTGGCTTGTTTGTGTATTACGCGTATTAATTGCTCTTAGACATAATTATATGAATTTTTAATGACATAAATTGGGCCTTGCATGCTGTAAAAAATTATGAAAGATGTGGTGATGATAATTTCATGCAATGGATTTGGTATGTACCACTTTTCGTGATAATGAGTTGATATTCTAGAGATGCTTCTATTAAGTTATACAATATTAAAACTAAGTACACCTAAGTCTGTTTTTACACGGTCTTTTTGTACACGGTTTTGATATAACACGGTTTGAAAATTGAATATTTTTAAATTTTTTACACGAATTTATTCCATTTAGCACGATTTGAAATTTTATGTACCTAAATTTTTTTTGTCAAATTAAATTTTTGCGAAGTATGTTCATATCACAAAAAAGTATTTATGAAAGAAAAAAGTCTGAAACCATCGATAGTATCGATAGTTTGCAAACACTAGCTTAAAGATTTAAGTGAATTCCCCTTTAGCGCGTACAAACAATTTTTACTGGTCAAAGCAAATGTGAATAGCACTAATTTAATTCTTGTTCTTAAAAATTCTTGTTTTTCACCAATTTTAATAGGTTTTAGAGATTAAGAACAAATCACCCATTTTTGTATAAGATCAATGTCTTTTTTTACACGTTTTTTTTACACGGATTCTTCTGGAACCAATCTCCGTGTAAAAACAGACTTAGGTGTATAATTAAATATTATTACTGAGCTTACTACTTATGTTACTTTATTTAAAATTTCATAAAAACATCTTAATTCTACGTTCATGTTTTTAGTTTAATTTTTAATATTACATAATAAATTTTTCATATCATTGTTTTGAAATTGAATAATTAAATATTTTTAGCAAAAACACGATTATGACTAAATATTATAATTGGCAAAAGTGATCTAGAATTGCATTTACAATTTCTTTTATTATACAAAACAATGATAAAAAGGCCGATTATTATAATGTATATTTATATAACCTCAACAGTAATTTATTGGATTTACGTAAACATAACAAGGAAAAAAATATTTCTTATCGGCGGTGAATGAAAATAATAAAGATTATGAAAATAATCATAATATGTTACAAAGTCCGCTACGATTATACGAGTACTCTTTTTTGAACGTGACTTTGTAACTAATTTGATAAAAATCGCAATGAATTTATAGCAAAAATCCGGTTGGTGATTCAATGACTTATGTTTTTTCGGAGTTCTTTATGAAAATTGTTTGTATATAATTATTAGTCGGTTAACTATATTTTTGAACTATGAACAACTAGACCTAGTTATTTATAAAAGCTACGAAATTGTTTGGAAAAGCTATGTTATTAATATGAACCCTAAGATTTTGGAAACATCCATGTTTTTTTGAAAACGTATTAGAAACGGCGAATATAAAGTCCAATTTATACATATTATAAATAAAACCACTCATATACGTCTCTTAATAATTCAAAAACTTCTATAAAATTTAAAATTTGCACTTTACAAAGATTTGATTAAAATACCAAAATTTCCCTAAACATTAATATTTTTTTTTAATTATCAATAAAAAGACTGGATTATCTTTTGTAACTGGTATTGCCTTTAACTAAGTAAGTCTAAAGTTTCATATTATTTTAAACTGGTCGTCTGTTTATTAATTTTAGTCATTTATTATTTTTTCAGGAAACATCTAAGACATTTACCAATAGTTTCAGAATTTCACAAAATGGTCAATTAATTTAACAATGTTAAGATATGAGAAAAATTTACATTTTCAATTTTCAGTAACATAATCCATGAATTAAATTTCATTTTTGATTTACATTCAATTGTATTTAATAAATAATTTCTTGAGATTCTTAACTTCGCGTAGGGCAAATTATAGTAATCGCATAAAAATCGAAAAAAAAAATTTTTATATTCCTTTACATTTCAGAGGTTTCTGAACATTTTGGCATACCTTAGGAAAATGGATGTGTGTGTGTGGGGCAAAAAGTGCCACAAACGGTAACTCAGTTTTTAAGAGAACGCGTCCGATTTTAATAATTCAAAAAACATTTTACTTGTATTGATAAGATAAATAACTAATGAAAATTTCATGAAGGCAGGTTTAGCGGTTTTGGAAATCTAGTGAAAAACGTAAAAAAAATGCCATTTGGCGGTCAAAAATGATCATTAGACATATGCACATCAAATTATCAGATATTTTATAGAGATTTTAATAATAAGTATTGGAAGTTCCGTTCCAATGTTTATCCGTTAGACGGCGACGCGGCGCTTTCGCGTCTCTATGCAGTTAAAGCAGTACGATTGCTTTGAAAACAAGTTCAGAATTTCCAAAATATTTCAAAATAAAGAAAACATTATTTTTTCAAAAAGTCTTTTTTTTTTCAAAAAATTTAAATTTTTGTCAAAAATTTATAATTTCTCAAAAATCGAATTTTTTCAAAGTAAATTTTTTTCAAAAATGGTAATCTTTTGAAAAAAAATAATTTTTGTTACGGGAAGTTCCACCAATTTGCCTTAAGGCACGATGCCCCAAAAAACTCTTTAATTATTATCAGATTTGATAACTATAAACTCAATTAAACCTCTGATATCGGTACTGCTTGATATCAAGCTGGCCAAAGTAGGTATTGAACCCAGAACCCAGAAAGTTGCTGCACCGACTCCCGACCATTGAGCCATGCTCAGCTCTATTATTTTTTCTTAAGAAGTTAACTACAGCAAAATGTTCCAGACGATATAAGATTATTTCCTCTTACCCTATGAGTCAGTACATTGTTCTGAAATCGTTTGCGATAAAATAACATATTTACACAATAATTCTAAAGACGGCAATGGGCATTATTCTTTAAGTCTATTATGCGTTGTACAAATATCGTAAACAAGTGAACGTTCATGTGGGTTTGATAGACTAAATAAACAGTATAATAATTCATAAGAACAAATCCTTATCGTCTACACTCGGGCGGGTCATGATCCGTCGTGACGCAAATCCAATTCTGTGACGTTGAATTTGATATATGAACACTAATCCAGCATATCAAAACGAAGCTGATTTTATTTCATGTTTATGGGATGTAGATGATATGTAATATTTTAGAAAATAACATTTGATAAGAAATTGTTAAAACTATGAGATTTGGAGTTTATAGCATCCGCGTGGAAATGATGTAAATGATATAGATAAAATATTTGAAACATTGGATTTAGTAATCATATGGAAATGATAGCTTCAAAGAGGAAATCAGATGTCTGTACGAAAATTGTTTTTTTATGTTTTATTTAACATACTGAAATATAAATTTTCTTAAATAATATCTGTGCCATCAGGCGTCTCACATATAAAATCTAACTTCTCGTATGTGTTATCATGACGCATCAGAAAGATGCATTTATGATAACATTCTTTTTTGACGTTTGTGGGTTTTCTAGGTTAGGTTTTATGTCTCATGATCGCACGGCAAATACATAGCATTTTAACAATTTTTACTACCAATTTATATGAAGAAAGGAGCGTAAAATAGCGTTGCCATAACAACGCTATGTTACGGTCTATTTAATCTGAAAAATGACCCCATAAATATTGAGTTTTCAAGTAAAAATAGCCTTTTGCAATGCTGGTGCAGTATGACATATCATAATTTACAAGTATAAAAAACTAAAGAAAATCATCACAAATATTGGGCTGCATTCTAATGATACATCACAACATCTCATAGAATACTAAAAACAAATCAGCTTACTGTTCAACTAATGTTAATAAATAATTCGCAGAATCTATAATTATAAGATTTCTAAATTCAAAAATTCTATAACATTGGTTTTAATTTGCTCATATATCAAAAACGGAGGATAATGTAGATGGTATTCTAAAACATAAATGTTTTCAATTACATGATGTATTGACATTATTTGACTCTTATTATATAAACTAATAAAATTTGCACAAAAATAATACGCCTTTCCCTGTTTAAAGAAATATAATAATTATTCTGATCATTTTACATTAGACTTATTTGCCGCAGTAGATAGTCTTAAGAACAGAAGGATTACCTTTTAAAGTATTTACCTTTTTAATTTTACAAAAGAGTTTGTGTTTACATGATAAATATTAAATCGCCTCAAATTATATGCGTGCCTTTCGTTTACGATTTATTTTTCTGTTATTTTTTGTGTTGGGAAATGTTTTTGACGAAGTCGAACCAAATTCTTCTTCCTCATAATTTTCATTTGGAGGTGTGTCATGATATTCGTCCATAGGAATGCATTCCAATTCTTCCTTACCAGCAAATATCATGACATCGATCAAATTGATGTATCCTATTACATAATTTTCCTTATTTGTAGTGGTTTCTATTCTTGGATATTTTTCACTCAGAAATTGGTATCCTTCTTCATATTGGGGAGTATCTCTCTCTAATTTCCTGAAAGAATCGATATAAATGCAATATTATTGTTATGATTATGTTATAAACAACTTACGTGAAATTTCCGTTGAATACAACAAAAAAACACCGAGGATTTTGGACGTCAATTCCCTCCTGGTTGCATTCACTACTTTGCACACGACTGATGGAAAATGATACTTTGTGACTATGCTCAAGATGCTTTGTAACGTAGTAATTAGGGGACAGAAAAAAGTAAGGCATACCTGAATGTAACAAAAAATAGCATAAATTAATTAAAAAAAGCAAAAAAATAGCAATAATATACCAGATCACAATGATTAAGAAAGTCATAAATCATCATATGTCATCTCTCCGTCATGAATATTTGAGTATAGAATAGTACTATGTTAGATGCGATTACCAGATGACATTAATTATCAAATTGGATATATTTGGAGTATAATTTCATTCTTTACCGGAGCTGTAAGTAGAATTTCCTTCAGCAAACATTTTGGGTGTAACAAAAGGATAATCGTAAGTTTCCCAATAGTCTGATAGTACACCTAAAGCGCCCCAATGATATTGGCGCAGCATTTGCCTAGCGATACCAGCGAGTCGACGATTTACTTCGGGATCAGGAGTGCTGGAATTAAAAGAAAAGAAAGATTAGTTTTTTTTAATTATCATTAATTAGAGTGATGATTTTAATCCAATTGTGACAAAAACTAGTGGTGTGTTTCATACTGCCTTGACAAATTGCTGGAATTTACCGTACCGTAATGAAATATTTGAAGAGTATTAAATGTTTTGAGATAGAATATTATAAATACTGTAACTTCCATTATTAGTATTTTATAGACAAAATGTAAGAGCTTATAACTGAGTTGCAAAGTTGTTTATTTGAAATATATATGTAAGCTTTAGAATTCTCTCTATAATTAAAATCAAAATTCGAATCATTTTCGGTATTAAAAAATTATTATAAAGAAATTTAAAAAAAAACTAATTTTTACATACTTTTTTGCATTGGTTTCTTCAGACTGTCGACACAAGCAAAATGTTTTTTGAACTATTCAAATCGGATGTTGACCATTTTTTACACATTTAGCTCCTTCTACTAATGTGCACTAATCACCATTCTCCCTATTATTAAATATTGAATGTTTCTGAATCATCCAAATTGGATACTCCGTTCCCTCAAAAACTTAATTTCTTTTTTCTGTACACTTTGCTTCTTATTTTCGAAACGGTTGGATCGACTTTTGCCAAAAACTAATAACTTCTCCTTATTAATAAAAATCAAATGCTTTCTGAATATTTCAATTTAGTTGGTCCGTGCTCTGGGAAACGTGGATACACACATACATATACCATTTTTCGCATATATCAATTTCTTCTGAGGTATGCCATAATATTCAGAAACCTCTAAATCGTGAATATATGCAAAAATTTTCATTTTTGATTTTTGGACGGTTACAATAACTTACCGGAAGCTAATAAAAATATATTGTTTAAAAAGGTGTAATTTTATCCGAAAATGCTAACATAAATATAAAATAAAAATTGTTATGTTAAAGTAGAACATCAAATTTTGCAAAAATCAAATATACTTTTTATGAATATGTACAGAAAGTGTATATGTATATATGGGTAGAAAATAATCATTTTTTGATAATGCTCATATGCCCAATCTCCAAAATCGTTCATTATTGGTTTCAAAAAATCTTTATGATAATATTTGCATGCTTAACGCACAACACAATACACTATGGTTAAATTGTGTAAATGAAACTGAAAAATACCAATAATGTGACTTTTTGTTTAAATGTTTTAAATATACATTAACTTTCTGAAGGAAAAGTTCATATTTATAAAAATCCGAAATTGGAAAAAGTGTATGTGTATGCATACCAAAATTTTTTTTAATTGTATTTTTGTAATTGTATTTTATAAATTGTAATCACTCTATTACAAAAATGACAATTTTTTAAAAATTAATTATTTTCGCAAAAATTTGAACGATACAAACATAGTTATTTTCATGCAAATTTCAACACTGAAAAAAAAATCTAAATCATTTCTTGATTGTGCTAGATAAATTTAATCTAATTAAAATTTCAAAAATATGCTATCAAACAATGCTATTACAAAGTAACTAAATAAAAACCAAAAATAGTAATAAATTATTCAATTTATTACCTTTTACAGTTACTTGCAAATCTGCCCGGAACTTTTATTCCTCTCGAATATTTTGCTGCATCAGTAGACCAGGCAAAAACTAAAACTAAAATTAAAATCAAAGTTAAATTCCACATTCCGTTCTTTACCCTATTACTAGTAGTCTAAACAAATTTCAAATGCAATAATATTCTTAACGTTAGTCTTTATATGACTATATGTTCTGAAAAATATAACGTTGAATTTATTTTTCTCAGATAACAAAATTTATGGAAATATGGCAACTTCACGAATAAATTACTTTATAGCGATTAAGATGCGCAAGGTTTACCTATTGCTTAGTGATTAAACTTTGTTAATTGACATAAATTGAATAACATTGCGTATAGTTTTGTTAAAATGATAGATAATATTCATAAAAACATTTACCTTAATAATATGTTTTGCTTTTTATTTATAACAACTACTGTAAACTGTTGTAAATTGCCTTGAATTTAAAATAAAAAATTAATTTAATTATTGCTAATTATAATTTTGAAGTTGATGGCCTTTCAATAATTATATCTTATATATAAAATTCTTAATGATATATGAAAGGATACTCTTCCTAAACAATTATTCGGATTTTGATAAATCTTTTAGAAATTTGTTAAGGGAATTTTTCAGAATGTTGTGATTATAGAAATATAGTTAGATTGTAGAAATAAATGTAAAAAATTACAAAGAACCGCTTATCACTATTTGACACTGAAAATATTTGAGGCGTTGTTTGGCATTGAAAACAAATGAAAACTTTCATCTGCCAAAAATTTCAATTTGCTTATGAGCTAAGACAATATTAGAATATAACATATTAATGATTTTGAATAAAAAAAAAGTAATGTCTACATTATTATTGGCGAAAAGCAGCTGAGATGTGCCAAATAAAATCTTTGTGCATTACTGTAAATATTTGTGCATTTTCAAAAAATGTTGATGAAAATATAATAAAGCATCTTTCAAAAATGGTTGAATATCATAATTTCAAAAAGCTTGTTTTTTCCAAAATGTTGTTTATAATTATTAATCTAAAGACAAAAATATCCTTTATGTAAACTTGGAAACAAATGTTTGTTATAACTAATTGTACGTTAAACCCTTAGACATAGACTTAATAAAAAGAGTTAGTAATCGCAGAATAGAAGCAAATCAGATTTAAAAAAAACATCATTGACATGATTCCATTTTATTTAATAGTTTATAGTATTTGTATGTTATTTTTCTTTGAAAAATATGACGTACTAAATGTTTTTACTTCAAAAGAATTAATGCTAATGCAAAAAGTTTTCATGTATAAAAAATCATGTATTTAGGTGAAAATCATGAATTCGTACATTTGTATGATAATATTTGTACGCATTCAAAATATTTCTTGGAGAGTTCTTCCGAGTAAAAAAACTGCCGTGAAGACTGTTATTTTATATTTTTTACCGAGTGTGAGCGAAGAGAAGGTGAGAACCAAAAATTTGTTGAAATATTATCATATTTTTCACTCCTTTTTGGTTATGTGATTCCTCAATACGTTTTGTTTACGATGAATTTCACCTGCAAAGTGTTTATTTGGAAGTGTATTAAAAAAGGCATCAAGAGGAATACATTCCAACTCTTTTTTCCCAGCAAGTACCATAACGTCAACAAAATTGATTGTTCCTTGATATCTGGATACTTTTCTAGTAAATACTAATGTCCATCATTGTATTCTGCAGAGATTTCGTCTAATTTACTATATTGATAATAATAATGTTGTCAAATTTACAAAATTCAAAATGGTTAACTCGAAATGAAGGGTAGAAATTGAAAAAACAGTGACTTCAGTAAAAGTGTTCATTTAATGTCTGAAAAGGAGTAATAAAGTTGGAATGATGAAATTGTTGAAAAAAAAATTGCAACAATCAAGCACAGATTCTAGGCGTAATTGGTGCACGTCAAGTCGGTGGAGTTGGTCATATCCACGCGCTTCAATTGGAAGGGTCTGTCGTAGTTATCGCACACGAAGGAGTTTTTTCTTGACAGCTATGCCAACATCAATCTATAGCAAATCATGCCAAAATCGTTGTCTTCACTTGAAGAAATCGTAGAGTTTTATTTGTTGCCTTTTTCACAGCTGATTATGAAGTATGGGCCTTCTTGGAAACTTTTGCTGGTACTTGCAAAATTTTGACCCTGTGCTGCTTCTGCCGCAACCTCTCTGTTTTTATCAACGCTCCGATATTTTATTAATTTTCACTTCCTTCAAAGCAATAATCAACTGTTCATACTTCACCACTTTTTTGGAGTTTTCTGTTTTCTTAGGAGGCATTATGACTGAAGGGATGAAAATAAGTAAATAAGACGTTCGATTAATGAATAGAAATATTTTACTGTGCAAAAAACGGCATCGCGCAAATGGCCCATGTCTGTCCACAAATAGTGGCCCACTTCTATCTACAAACGCTTTCTTTGCATATGCATCCCACAAAAACACAATGTCACTAGTCTTAGAGTTATTCTGCTGGCCCACTCCAATCTGTGGCCCACGTCTGTCCACTTCACTCTACTAAAAACATATCAGCTTACTTTTCAAATTATGTTAATAAATAATTTGCTGAAAATATAATTATGAGATTTTTAAATTCAAAAAATTCTGTAACATTGGTTTTAATTTCCTCACATATCATAAGCGGAACAAATGTAAATGATATTTTTAAACATGATGTTTTTAATTACATGATGTATTGATATTATTGGACTCTTATTATATAAGTTAATAAAATCCGCATAGAAATAATAAGCTTTTAAATTTCATTGTTTAAAGAAATATAATAATTATTCTGATCATTTTACATTAGATGGCTTATTTGCCGCAGTACATTCTCTTTTAAAAACAGAAGGATTACAAAGACTTTACCTTTTTAATTTTACAAAAAAGTTTGTTTTTACATGATAAATAATAAAACGACTCAAACTATACGTGTGCATTTTGTTTACGGCTTATTTTTTTCTTAATTTTTCTGTTTTTTACTCTTTTTGAAGGAGTCGCATAAAATTCTTCTTCTTCATAATTTTCATTTGGGGGTGTATTATGATAAGCGCCCATAGGAACGCATTCCAATTCTTCCTTACCAGCAACTATCATAACATCAATCAAACTGATGTATCCTATTACATAGTTTTCCTTATTTGGAGTGGTTTTTATTCTTGGATATTTTTCAGTCAGAAATTGGTATCCTTCTTCATATTGGGGCGTACCTCTCTCTAATTTCCTGAAAGAATTAATTAGAATTAAGTATAAATGCATTTTATCAGAGTACTGAACTGCCATTGGAATTAAAAGCAGAATGGAGTTTTGGTCTTATCTAAATTTTTGGGGAAATTGTTCATTTACTTTTATGACATCTGGTCAAATTGGTACAAAAGCTGACGCCCAACATATATTTTATAAATTTTCTTGCGCGATCTATCTTGTAGACGAGACTTGTCTGAAACATTTAATTATGGACCAAAAAAATAATCATAATTTATAGTCACAAAAAAATCTAATGATATAATAAATAAATGCATCATTAAACATTCTAAACAATTAATTTTATGAGACAAAATGTCCACATTAAATGTTTTCATAAATAATGAACATTATGATAAGTGGTGAAGACAGTTTTAATTAATTCTGATTTAATATTCTCAACTTTCTTTGTAGAGTCTTCATTTCTTTATTTGAGTTAAATTATTTAACTCGATTTAAAAAAGATATATCCAAATTCGTTATTTTTTGTCAGATAGTTATTACCACAAACAGTTGCTTGTGGGATAAGAAGTGGAGTTATCAAAATCACATTTATCTCACCATCAGTGTCTTTCGAACGGCTTGCATAATTCATTTTTAATTATTATTATATTTACCATAATAGCAATATTATTAAAATGATTATGTTATAAGCAACTTACGTGAAATTTCCGTTGAATACAACAAAAAAACACCGAGGATTTTGAACATCAATTCCCTCCTCCTTACATTCACCACTTTGCATACGACTGACAGAGAATGATACTTTGTGACTATGCTCAAGATGCTGTGTAACGTAGTAATCAGGGGACAGGAAAAAGTAAGGCATACCTGAAAGTTACAAAAAGTCAACATAAATTAATTACGTTATTTAAAAGAAGTTGTTCGGACATATTTTCATTTTATTATCTTGGCCATGAAGCGGCAATCTTCATGACATTGAGCTTTTACGCCGGATGGTTGCTACCCCTGGAGAAGAGGTAGCGGAAAGGTTGATAGGACTAATTTTTCTCACTTCTAAAATTAAAGTTTGCGTACCAACATGTGTAATAAATAATCAATAAATATATCTTCTTTAATTATAACTTAGTGACAAATCAGTGTTTGTAATAAGAACTGCAACAAATACATAAATTATACCAACAAATCAGTGATTAATACAGGCTACAAGAGTTAAATTTTGTAGAAGAAATTTAACAACAATATACCGGATCACAATGATTAAAAAAGTCATAAATCATATGTCATTTTTTCATCATGAATACTTCAACATGAACTGTTATGCAGAGACAGGAGAGTGTAGTATAGTACTACTATGTTAGAAGCAACTACCAGATGACATTAATTATCAAATTAGATATATTTGGAGTATAATTTTATTCTTTACCGGAGCTGTAAGTAGAATTTCCTTCAGCAAACATTTTGGGTGTAACAAAAGGATAATCGTAAGTTTCCCAATAGTCTGATAGTACACCTAAAGCGCCCCAATGATATTGGCGCAGCATTTGCCTAGCGATACCAGCAAGACGACGATTTACTTCGGGATCAGGGGATCCATAACGGGTGCTGGAATTAAAAGTAAAAAAAAATAGTTTTTTTAATTAACATTAAATTTATTAAAAAGATATACACTTTTATTACAAATCAGCTTTGTGGTGTATGAAATGTTATCTTGGGCAATGACTAGAACTTTCCTACTTCTAATACTTTGTTATGCTTAAAAATTTGTCAGCAATTAGAAATTGTTTTAAATTCAAATGGTTAATGCATTTATTTAGAAAAGAATGACTAAAAATATAAAACCAATTGTGACAAAAATATAAATATATTATTTTAAAAGATGCCATTATACCAATTTCTGAAAATGCTATCATAAACATAAAGTAAAAATTGTTTTGTTAAAGTGGAGCATCAAATTTTCTAAATCCTCAAATAATGGAAAAATTAAGTATACATTTTATGAACATGTATATAAAGTGTATATGTATATATGTATTTATATTTTCTTGATGTTTTACATCTTTCTGCATTATTTAAGGTCAAAATTGGAAAAATTTGTGTGTATGTATAGGGTCCGCCAAATATTTTTTTTTTACAAACTACTGAATATTTTCTAAAATTTCTTTTTTTATTTGAAAGAACAATCCTTTCAGTTAATAATGAAATTAATTCAGTTAATAATGATTATAATAATTTCATTCAAAAATGAAAAAAAGCCTCGGCTGACCGTTGAAAAAAAAAGAAAATGAAACATATGTTAGATGGCATACCCTATATATGCATACCAAAATTTCTTTCGTCTTTCTTTTAATTGTAATTACCCTGTTAAAAGGCAATCCTATAAAAATAAATTATTTTAGTAACAACCTGAAGAATTGAAACAGTTATTTTCATGCAAATTTCAAAACTGGAATTTTGTTTAATCAAATTAAACATGCCACAAAACAATGATATTACAAAATAACTAAATAAGAACCAAAAAATAGTGATAAATTAATTAATTTATTACCTTTTACTGTTACTTGCAAATCTGCCTGGTTTTTTTATTCCTCTCGGATATTTTGCAGCATCAGTAGACCAGACAAAAACTAAAACCAAAATTAAAATCGAAGTTAAATTCCACATTGCGTTCTTCCCCCTATTACTCGTAGTCTAAACAAATTTTAAATGCCAAAATATTCTTGATGTTAGTCTTTATATGACTATTTTTTCTGAAAAATATGACGTTGAACTTATTTTTCTCCGATAACAAAATTTATGGAAATATAACAATTTCACGAATAAATTACTTTATAGCCATTAAGATGCGCAAAGTTTACCCATTGCTCAGTAATAAAACTTTGTTAATTGACACTAATTGAATAGCATTGCGTATAGTTTTGTTAAAATGATAGATAATATTCATAAAACATTTACCTTAATAATATGTTTTTACTTTTTAATAATAACGGCAACTGTAAATGTAATACTGTAAATTATTGTCTAGATTTTAAAATACAAAATTAATCTAATTATAGCTAATAAATTTTAAAGTTAACTGTATACATATAAATTATATATATATATATATATATATATATATATATATATATATATATATATTTGGGGTAATGTCGTCTTTAAACTTTCTTTTAGAATCGTGATGAGACAAACAACATTTTTGCAATTGTTTGAGCTTAAATATTGCATTTTCTCTTTAAAGTGATGCCATATCATACAATCTTAATAATCATTATATATTAAATATAATCTGACTACTTACTGTTCCATTTATTTAACCATTTTTATCAAAAAATACCCCAAAAATGTATTCGCAAGGTTCTTCACTCAAATCCAGAACTTTACATAAATTTGCACTCAAACTATCTTGAATAATTTCACTTGCAATTTTTTCAGTATGGACCGATATGTTGATATAAGATGTAATATGAAAACATTTTCAATTAAATCTAATAGATTACATCAATTTAATGCTTATTTAGTGAAATTGGAAGAAGTCCAAAAGCCTTTTTCAATCCATGTACTTGTGCTTGAACTTTGCTTGAATGTTGATGAAAATATAATAAAGCTTCTTCCAAAAATGATTGAATATCATAATTTCATTTTTTTCCAAAATGTTGTGTATAATTCATCTAAAGACAAAAATATTCTTTATGTAAACTTGGAAACAAATGTTAGACATAGACATAATAAAAAGAGTTATTAATCCCAGAATAGAGGCTAATAAGATTTAGAAAAAAAACATCATTAACATGGTTCCATTTTGTTTAATAGTTCATAGTGTTTGTATGTTATTTTCCTTTGAAAAATATGACGTCTTAAATGTTTTCACTTCAAAACAATTTATGCTAATGCAAAATGTTTTCATGTGTAAAAAATACTGTATTTAAGTGAAGATCATAAATTTGTACATTTGTATGATAATATTTGTATGCATTCAAAACAATTCTTGGTAGGTTCTTTTAAGTAAAAAAATATCTGTTAAGACTGTTATTTTATATTTTTATCGAGTGTGAGCCAAGTGAAGGTGGAATCCAAAAGTTGTAATATTTTCATATTATTCACTGCATTTTGGTTATGTGATTTCTCAATACTTTTTGTTTACGATAGATTTTGCTGGCAAAGTGTTCATTTGGAGGTGTATTAAAATAGGCATCAAGAGGTATACATTCCAACTCTTTTCTTCCAGCAAGTACCATAACGTCAACTAAATTGATTGTTCCTAATACTAGTTTCGATTCTTTAGATATTTCTTCAATGTCCGGATACTTTTCGCACAAATACTGATAACCATTCTTGTATTCTTCAGAGTTCTCATTTAATTTACTATAATAAGAAAAATAATAACTTTAATATATATGTTAACAATATTTCAAGCAATATAATAATCTGACTGAGTTTAATCACTTTTTAAATTGGTGAAAACGGTTTTGAGAACGAAGAACTAGACATAATTTTTATATAGGAACAATATATTTTATATATGTATAGCAATCAAAAAGGTAATGCCATTTTTTTCATGAAATTTTTAAGGTATTCTTTAATTTATTCCATACAGTAGCAATTAAGCTATATTAACAAATACTAAGCGAAGCTAAGGTATTATGGTATTGTTTTACCTCTTACCATCATATCACAATTGATTGATTTATGATTCGGAAGTTTGAGAAATTCACAAACAAACATAATATTTTACCAACAAAATGCAAAACATTATACGAATAGAATAAGATAAGCAACCGCAATTACTATTCTTTCTAGGCACATCTTGAAATCATTATTTGCTCAAATCTCTGCAAAATATTTACACGTTGAAACCTTCACCAAATAAAATGTCAATCATTTCGATTAGTTTTTTGCAAGCAAAAGCTAAAACTTGTGTTTTGTAAATGGATAATAACTTTGGCAATAAAATAAAATACTAGAAAATTATACAAAATTTATCTTTCATATTCATACACCATAAAATGAAAGCATTTGCAGAATCTTTAAATAAATATTCAATCAACTTACCGAAAATCGCCACTGTAAACGACCCAATAGCACTTGTTACTTTGGACATTGTGACCATTTTTCCTGCAAACACCAGTCTGTTCTGTAGTCACAGTAAATGACACTCTGGTATCGGCAGTAACATCGGTTATCAATAAATCATCAGGCGATATTGAATAGTCAGGAGTAAAATAAAAATATGGTTTACCTGTTTAAAAACACCGGCAATGTAATATACTAGTATGGTAAAGGACAGGCAAAGTAAAGGTCCAAAATTAAATTGAGGAATACATAGGTGTTTTTGGATTGAAATCGTGCTGTCATCGATTTGATGCTGCTTTTTTTTGCTGTCTGTTACTTTAACTCAAAATTAAATAAAATTAAATAAAATAAGATCAAAATTCTTATTGACAGATCTCTATGTACTTATTTAGTTCCCGTCAAGTAAGTATAATATTGTAAAGGTGCAGAAATGAAATCTAAGATTATAGGAAGTATTACAGACGCACCTGGTACATCTCCAATTTTACCTTACGTTAGGACTGCAAAAGACCTGACGTAGATGAAGTAATTAAAGACAAAGACATTACTATAAAAGTTTGGACATTCATATGGTGATTTTCATAAGACCAGCTCTCAAAGTATGTAGAAGGGGACACAAATAATGTATATAGATAAAAAGTGATATTTACTCCTTCGGTAAGTTAATAAAATACATAAAGTTTAAGAATTGTCGATAATAATAACGCAAACTAAAATTTTATGATAGATTAATTTTATATTGCAAGTTCTGTATGTTGTGTAGTCCTGCAGGACAGAAGAATCGAGATCGTGGACATGTACAATCGAAAAAAAATTAATATCCTTTAAGATCATATTGAGAAACTTCTGTCACTAGCTGCCCCTATTACAGATAGCACCTAGCTTCCTACTAAAGATCTTCACTTTTTTCTCTAAATAATTTTATTATTTCTTTAAAAATATGAATGATTTTTTTTAAATAAGTTTTACCAGTACTATGAGTGGAATTGCCCTCAGCAAAGTTACGTGGCGTAACAAAAGGATAACCAGTAGTAAAATTTGGACTGCTATTTATAGTTGAAAAATCACCCCATGTTGATTGTCGAAGAATTTGTCTTGCAATTCCAGCAAGGCGACGATTTACTACGGGATCTGGTGAACCATCTCGAAAACTAAACGATAAAATTAATATAAATAATCTATTTTTAATTACAATGCGAAAATTCGGAGAGTTATGAAATAAATCTATTTACTTTTCTTATAAAGAATATATTTTGAATTACCTGTTCAACTGCTTTTTAGAAATCCTATGTTGGTATGACTGTTTTCCATGCATTAAACACAAACAGAACAAACAACAAAATATTGGTAAAAAAAAATTCGACATCGCCTTTATCAAATTTTGCTAAAACGTATGTTAGTGCAAACTGTTTCCAAAGCGTCTAAGCACTGAATTTATATTTTGCCCATTAACTTGGAATAATAATTTATGATAATTTTGTTAAATTACTATAATAAGTAGAGTTAAAGACTATTGAATAACACCTGCAGCAATGCTCAAAGGTTAATATTAAATAATAAAAAATAAACGATAAAATTGAATGTTTTTGAAATCGTAAATAATATTTTCCACAGCTTTATAGCTTTTGTATTTTATCACTAGCATATGCCAAAGGCAGCAACGTAACGCATTATTGCTGATTTAAAAATCTTTAACGCACTTCTATATTCCAGCTCAAAATAATTTCTAGCCAAAAAAGCATTCTGAATGTATAAGTTCATAAATTGATATCCACTCCTTTTCTCCTAATTGAATGAACCTGACAGATCTTTATATCACTCTTGGTTTCACAACTAAAAAAAAGCTAGAAAATTATCAGATTATACAATATTTAATTTAGACTGCTTTATTTAAAAGTTTTGTACAATGTAATAAATTTGATTTTACTCGTAATTAGTTTTTTTTACTTCAGTTAATTTTAATCCATTTCACTTTCAAAATCCTCATTTGGCGACGCCTCAAAATAAGCAGGAAGTGGAATACATTCCAACATTTTCTTACCAGCAACTACCATAACTTCTACTAATTTGACTGTTCCAACATAATATTTTTCTTTATCTGGAATATCTTTGATTTCGGGATATTTCTCCATCAAATAAGAATAACCTTTATTGTATTCATTGGAACCTTTCTTCAATTTACTGTAAAAAAAATGATGTAGAATAACCTTCTAAGATTTTGACTTCGTTAAATATTGAAATTGAAATATACAATTAACATCAAATCCAAATGTATAACTTCTACATTCCATCAATGTAGAAGAAGTTCTACATTTGATGCTTTGGATTTGATGTTCTACAGTAGTGGTTCTACAGTAGAACCATTGTCAAATGTTACGAACAACCATGGTTTGTTATAAACATGGTTATATAAACATAAAAGCTTTAAAAATGTAAGAATATGATATCACTTACACAAAATCGCCACTGTACACAATCCAGAAGCATTTGGGATTTTGCACAATATAGCCTCTTTTGGAGCAAGCACCAGTTTGTTCAGTATTTACAGTAAAAGACACTCTGCTGTCTTTAACAACGTCTGTAGACTGGAAATAATCCGAGTGAAGGTAAAAGTAAGGTTTACCTGTTAATTTATTTATGTTAATAAATTAGTTACTGATTAGAAAAAGCATTTCAACAAAGTATCAGTGTGCAACCAGTAAAATCCCTGTGGACGAGGGTGTATAATTCAAATCAAGTATATCCATATATCTCACCAGTGGACACAGAAGAATTTCCTTCGGCAAAAATTTTGGGTGTGACAAATGGATAGCCATTGGTAGTAGAATTTGTGATACTAGATATAGTAGCCAAATCTCCCCAAGTAGATTGACGTAGAATTTGACGTGCAATACCAGCCAGACGACGATTCACAACTGGGTCTGGAGATCCATCGCGATTACTGATAAATTTAAAAGATAATATTAATTAAAATTAAAATAATAAATATTAATATATGAGATTTTAGCACACAAAGAGAATGCAATGCAATATAATTTAAAAAATACGTAACACAACTAAATAAGTTATTCAAGGTGCAAAGTAAAAATGGTAAGCAGAATTATTTACTATAATTATCTAAACAAACAACAAAAGATAACGCTTGAAAAAAAAGATAATGCACAAAATACTCCACGAATTTTAAGTAATGGATATTATCAATATACTTTTCTTCATTATTACTTGCAAACTTTTGCCATAACTGACTAAAATTTATCATAACCATTTATAGATATTTCGGTTTTCAAAATAATACTATAGTACTATGCGTTACGTAGTTATGAATCTTATTAAAACTCCTTTCATAACTCTGGTTGTTGGGTTATAATTTAACCCAACTTTGTAGCTGTGGACTGTATTAAACACTTATTTATTTTGTATTTATATCAGTTCTAATTAAACTATTGATTTGTTTCTAAGTACTAATTAAAAATGATATATTTAATTGGTAATTTATTACACATCTTGTTTTGCGTTTTTTTATTTTAGAAATGTACAATTAGTCCCATTAAACTCTCCGCTGCCCCCTCTACCAGGAGTAGCAACCATTCTGTGTAAAATCTCAATGCCATGAAGATTGTCACCTTCTGGGCCAATATAATAAAAAAAATACTTCCGAACAACTATAATGTTTTATTAATTACACAGCATTCACTATCTTTGCACATCAAAATACAATTCCAATTAAAGAGTGTATTTTTGAACATTTTAATTTTTAATTTTAAATATTTAGCTTATTGTTAAGGGCAATTCAGATTTTTCAAAAAATGATTGCAACCAGAGAGCCAGAAAAACGCTAAACAATTATATCGTAATAATTGATATTTGACACATGTTTCAAATTTTGTAATATTTGCTAATTATCTTTTGTTAAGAGATGAATATAATAAAGCCTATATATTACTAAAAATTACAAATGATAACATTATGCAAATTGATCAAGTGTATTTCTTACTATAAAGGGCAGCAAAATCTATTCAACATCTGATTCCCGACTAATATCTTTCAAAAGCTTTCAAATTATCAAAATTGGTACAGATTTTATGCGAAAACGTCGATAAAATTGCACTTTTTTCAAATTCACATCAAATCAAATAATAATAATAGCAAGTCATGTTCAAATCAAAGAAAACGTCGACGAAGGATTAAATTTTGGCTCAATTACTTATTTAAAATTTTAGTGTCAAACAATTCAAAATGACTATAGAAAACAATATTAGCAAATTAGAATTCAAAATCATTATTCTCTATAAATATCTATTATATCTACCTGTAATTTTCACAAATTTTGAAACATCTTTAATCTATACAACAAAAAATTTCATTCACAATTAAATAATACATACATACATGAATTAAAAATTATATGTGTGTGAATAATATAATGTTTATGAAGTATGTTTTGCTAATACAAAAAATGCAAATCAATAGGTGTTAGTCAAATTTTTATCCGCTATTTATAAATTATTTATTATTATTGTACCTGTGTTTTGCCCTAAGTAACTTAGGTGTTTTCCTTTTAACATTCCTATTATTTCCTTGTGTAAATGTGATGATACACAAAAACAAAGTGATAAAAAATATTATAACATATAACTTCCTCATCGCGTAAAGTGTTGACAACAAAACAAACTCGAAGTATCCAAAACTTGCTTGTATATATATATAATATTTGTTGATATTTTACTGAATATTTTAAAAATAATCTATAGCAAAATCTAAGATTCAATTTTGCACCTAAATAACGCATTTACTTGCTAATTTTCTAAAATACGTTAAAAACCACGTGGTTGCTTAAAATAATTATTATTCTATGCATATCGAATTAGTGGTGAACAATAATAATTGATAAAAACTTGCCATTAATAGCATTGATAAAGTTCATGCATATTCAAAACGTTGAATAAGTGTGATTAAGTTTTCGTCGTCATTTATTATCTAATAATATTCTGAATTTTTTACATTCGTAATAAAGAAAATAACTTAACTAATGCGAAAATATTCTCGTTTAGATTAATGGGTGATACATAATTAATTTTTGACATTTTTCCGTAATTGTAATTGATTATGTCAAAAGACGAAAAGACCTAAGACGATTAAAATTCAATCAGGAATAGATCATAAATAATTAAATTCTAGGTGATTGTGATTTAATAATACCATATTTATTATTCACTTATGTAAATTGATATAATTGCACAATTTATTTGAATTTGCTATTATGCTTTTTATTATGTGTGATCATTTTCATTGCATTTGCCAATAAAAAACGTGGTTTTTGCATTTTCACTGACTTAAAAATTATGTGACATGGAACAGTTTTTAGTGAATAAAAATTAAATAGAGAAGAATCGAGTCTCAAATAAAAGAAAACAATAAAAGTAATGGAAGTGATCTTTAATTTTTAATTGATCATTGCTGCATGAAACGCATTAAAAATTTTCATCCCGAGTAGGGAAAACTGGGTACGGTTGTGCCAGGGTACGATAGTGACAGTTCTACAATTTTGAGAAAGGGAGACAGATGAAGTATGTTTGTTCGAACAAGTTTCCATTATTGCATTGAATCAGAGCCCTACATTAGCATGATCTGCTGACCCCATTGCTTTCAAAGAGTCAAATTTTTCTTTGTCTGATTTCTTTTATAATAAATGGATATTATATATAGATAGATCACTTTGTTTGTAATTTTGATGTAATTGGAACATTAGTAGTTCAGAACCAGCAATTATTTTTTGCGTAGATAATTCAGCTCAGTCAAAATGATGATTTGTTATGAAAAGTGTGCGTTAGGTACGGTTGTGACATGTATTTCTTGTCCTTTTGGGTGAAGAAAACAGATAAAGTAAAATCTAACTTAACTAAGACACAATACGAAAAAGAAAAGGTAAGAAAACCTCAATACAAGAAAAAAAATAATACACAGATTTCTTATTAGCCTTTTGAAAATATTTTGTTTTGTTATATATTGTTATATTATATTCCTAAGCTTTGTTTGAAAGTGGTAAGTTAACAAAATTATTGCTAATAAAAAAAAGTGACACAACCGTTCTCAGTCTCCCCTTTACTTAAATTCTTAGGGCATATCCGTTGATATCTTTGAAAATCTCTAAATGTGATTTAAAGCGTCTTTAATTTTCCAAATTTGATCCTTGCCGCTTGAAACACATTACTCTTCTTTTTTATGCCGAGTAGGTATAAAAACCTCGATAACCTATTTATCGAGCTCATTCAATCGTTTTTAAATTTTTGAAACCGGTGCGGCCGTTTTTGAAACTCAAGGACAAATTTTGGCTCACATACAATTTTTTACAACTTTGGTGTCAAACTATTCATAGTGACTTAAAAAGTTGAGAAAATAAAATTAGCATTATCTAATTCTATGGCGAATATATGAACAAGTCTCCTTCTTCAAGTCATGTGATCTTCAAAATAAAACTATTATTATTTATTGCCCACGCGATTTGCCGATACACGTGTGCCCCACGTGTTGCAGTATCTATAGCAAATGGCATCCGATTAAATTCTCCCACCAGAATTAGTAACTTATATGGTGGTTTCAAGTCAACAAGTGGCTACATGGCATGCAACAGCCATGCGCAGATTCTCTTGATTCTCTTACTCAATCCAGGGACCAGCAACATATGAATTAAGATAAAAATGTATGTATTTGAATACTTAATGAATCAGTAGATACTAGTAATCGGGATTATATGCAATATATCTAAATCTCATAGAAGAAATTTCACATTCTACAAATAATTCAATAATGTGTATTTAAATGTATTAATCAAATACACCATTATTATATACTTATACATCAATGTTGTATTATGTGCAAGGAATGAGAATTTTCTTTAATCATAATCAAAATTAATTAGTAGTCAAATTAAAGAGCAACGATTTTATTTTATGTTTTTGTACTATCATATCTTCTGCCACATTTAATGTGGTAAATACCCAAATAATTTCACTACTTAAGAGTTTATAGAATGTAGTTCATGGTGATGTATATAACATAATGAATTAGACGCAATAATTGATAATTAGATTAATTAAACAATTGTTCAGTGCTAGTATAATTAATTACAAATCTTTGTTTTGAACATTCCGTCGTACAAAATCAATTTTTGTTAAAAATTATAATTAATTAAATGAATAAAAAATAAATATATATTTTTTAAATGATATTCTAACATAACAATCGCGACACGTAACTCACAATTGTTTTTTGCAATAAGTACATGCACCTACAAGATTTCATTATTTTTATTATATGTGTATTAAATTTTATATACATTATGAACAATAATTGTTTCCGTTATTTATTTATTTTAACTTTTCAATGAATATAATAATCAATATTAAGTGAAAGATTCAATTGTTTTTAATTGTACCTGATCTCAGGTATAAGATCTCATTTAATATATTCAAATTTGTATGTAAATGAGAATTAAATTTTTCATTCGGTAATTTAAATGAAAGACTTATGGAATGGTTTTTGATTCTATAATGTTGAGATGTTACCAATTTCAAATATTTGTAAATCTATATTTTTAAAATTATATTTTTTCAACAGCAATAATCTTGATAATTGCCTAGTTAGCTGGGAAAAGAGTAATTTCAATGATATTTTGAACATTTATATACAAGGAAATACAAAAATGGTCATAAAATCCAATCATGCAAGAAAAGGGCGAGTGTCACAACCGTCCACACCTGAGGGACGGTTGTGACTGGCATAAAAATATGTTAAAAACAATAGCTATTATAAAAACACCAAAATTGTTTATAACAACTTTTGTTGTCAGAAATATGTAACACAACACAACATTATCATTTCAACAAAGCTTATAAATATAATATAACAATATATAACGAAACAGAATTTTTAAACAAGAAAGTTTTGTTAAATCTTTTGTTTTCTTGTTATTGAATTTTTCTTTCCCCTTTCACTTTCGTTTTTTGTCTTAGTAATGTTCGATTTTTCTCTACCTGTTTAAATTTCCCTGAAAAACGTACAGAAACGTATGTCCCCTATTACCAACTAATTGCTGGTAATTATGTACTAATGTTCAACTTTTAGAAAAATTACAAACAAAATGATATATCTGTATACAAACAATACTTATTAATAAAAGGAATTAAACAATTTGGCTCTTTGAAAGCCATTTGGTCTACAGATCATGTTAATGAAGGGCGATGACTCAATGCAATAATGGAAACTTGATCGAAGAAACATACTTCATATTTTTGCCTTTGGACTCTATCTCAAAATCAGTATAGTTTGTTGTGACGACCGTCACTATTGTAACATGGCACAACCGTGGCCAGTCTCACCTACTTATAGACGTATTTATCATCATATGTAGTATTTATAATGACTGGCAATTGATCAAAAGAGGCAATTATTAGTTAAACAAAACTTATTGCTAAAAAATTTTTTTTATCTATCTGTAGCCACAATCATAATATGAAGAATGAATTACATTTAAACATTAAAGGGATCTGGTGGCGAGATGTCGACCTTACGTGATAGACAATAAAAAGTTCAGTTAATTTAAAGTAATTATAGCTGAATGTCATATTTTGCTGTGTAGAGACAGATTGTAATTAAGTTGAGAAAATTAAGAGAAATAAAAAAT